AATAGATCAGGGAATTAAAATAGACCTAGGAATTAAAGCAGAGACCCTGCATCTAATAGAAAAAAAAAAGTAGGCTCAAATTTCATCATATTTGATTAGGCCCCTATTTCCTTAATAAGACTCCTGTAGTGCAAGAATTAAAATCAAGAATTAATAAACTGGATGGATTAAAACTAAAAACTTCTCAGAAAAAGAAACAATAAATGAGGTGAATAGAGGGCATACAGCTTGGGAGCAAATTTTTATCACTTGCATATCAGATAGAGCATTAATCTCTAGGGTATATAAAAAATTCCAAAATCTAAACACCAAAAAAACAAATAACTCAATCAATAAATGGGCCAAGGAACTGAACAGACACTTATCAGAAGGTGATATAGCATCAATCCACAAATATATGAAATAATGTTCAACATCTCTAGCAATTAGAGAAATGTAGATCAAAACTACTCTAACATTTCATCTCACTCCAGTCAGAATGGCAGCTATTAAGAATACAAATGACGATAATTGTTGGCAAGGATGTGGGGGGAAAAGGCACACTCATGCTTTGTTGGGTGGGACTGCAAAAAGGTGCAACCAATATAGAAATCAGTATGGAGATTCCTTGAACAACTGGGAGTGGAACCACCATTTGACCCAGCTATCCTACTCCTCTGTCTATACCCAAAGGACTTAAGCACAGCATAATAGAGGAACACACCACACCAATGTTTATTGCAGCACAATTCACAATAGCTAAACTAGGAACCAACTGCCACAGTCTAGCTGGGCACAAAATAACCGAGCCACCACAAAAGCCTTGTAGATTCCAACAGCAACTCTTTATTCCCGAACTCTCACCGGCACTCTACACGCATGTTCTGGGAAAATAACACACACTCCACCAGGCTCTGCGTCCCAAATACCCTCTGAATCCCGCAATAACTCAACAAGAACTCAAGGAGCGGGCGCCTGAGGCAGCAGGATATGCCCTATTCCCAGCAGGATCCACTTTAAACCCGGATCCACCCTAATCCAGCAGGATCCACCCTAAACCCCCGGAGCCGCCCTAATCTCTGAGCAAAGGTCACCTTTATGCAATGTCACTGCAAATGACCTGGGTCCAAGGCAAGCCCATTTCCACAATGGAAAGTCCTCCCTCTAAGCAACATTGGGTAGGCTGATAAGTAAATTGCCATGCTCATTCCTACTTGGCTATGGCTCTAAGCAACCAACCTAGATGTCCTTTAGTAGATGAATGGATAAAGAAAATGTGGTATATATACATAATGGAATATTACTCAGTAATGAAAGAGAATAAATCATGGCATTTGTAGGTAAATGGATGTTTGGAGTTGGAGAATGTAATGCTAAGTGAAGTTAGCCAATCCCCAAAACCAACTGCCCAATATTTTCTCTGATATAAGGAGGCTGATTCATAGTGAGGTTAGGAGGGGGAGCATGGGAGGATTAGAAAAACTCTAGATAGGGAAAAGGGGTGGGAGAAAAAGGGAGGGGCTATCAGGGTAGACAAGACAGTGGAATAAGATGAACGACATTATCCTAAATACATGTATGAAGACATGAATGGTGTGACTATACTTTATATACGATCAGAGATATGAAAAATTGTGCTTTATATGTGTAATATGAATTATAATGCATTCTGCTATCATAACAAACTAGAATAAATTTTTTTAAAATGCAAATGTGAAGTTAATGCAACAATTCCATTTGCAACAGCAAATGTGCATGACTTTTAAACTAAAAACTGCAAAACACTGCTAAAACATTAAAGAGAAGTAAGATAAAAGCCACCTGGTATTCTTGGTTTGGTAAACTTAGTAGAATTAAGACACCAATACTTCGTAAATTGATATGTATACTCAGTGCAATTACTACAGAATTCCAATGACTTTATTTTTTCAGAAATTATGAACATTGATCCTAAAACTCATATGAAAATGCAAGTGAATTCAAAATAAGCAAATAATCTTTGGAAAGAAGAAAAGACATTGAAAATTCCTATTTCCAGATCGTAAGCCTTATTACAAAGCTAACATAATCAAGATGGTGTAGTACTGACATAAAGAAAGACATACAACTCAATGGAATAGAATTGAGAGTTTATGTGTTTATGGTCAACTGATTTTCAAGAAGAGTGTCAATACCATTTAATGAGGAACAAATCATCTTTTTAATGCATGGTGCCATGACAACCAACATCCACATGTAAAAACAAGAGCTAGCTGGTCCCCCTACTATACTTTAAACAACTCAAAGTTCTAAATTTAAAGAGAAAAAGTTCTAAAAATTTTAGAATGGAACATAGGTGTAAATCTTCTTGTCCTCCTATTGGACAGTAATTTCTTAGACATCACAACAAAAAATAAAAAGTAGATAAATTGTACTTCACCAAATTAAAGAAAGTGGAAAGACAAACACAGGTTGGGAGATAATGTATATAAACTATATATCTGATAAAGGTCTATTACCAAAGATACATAAAGAACTCTTTCAACCCAACAATTAAAAAAATTAATTTAAAAATTGACAAAGGATTTGTATATATTCTCCAAAGAAGATGCAGAAACAGCAATAATCACAGAAAAATATATTCAATATCATCAGTCTTCAGGGAAATGCATACCCAAACCACCTCAGCCCTGTTCCCTGAGCCTCATTTTATTTATTAATTAATTTATTTAATAATGCAGAAAACAATTTTTTTGGTTAATTTGTTTTTCTGTTTCTTTAGTCACTTCAGTTGCACATTCTGACAATTCTGAGCATCTCCCTTCACTTAAGGTAAGAAGACTCCTGCAAGTCTACATGATCGGAGGCATCTTTCCCGGAGTTCTCTCTCTGACATCTACCACAGTGTATCTCACTTGACTGTCCTCGGTCAACCGCATTTATTCCCACTGGTATCTGATGACCATGTTTTGTCTACTGGACTTCATTAGCATAAGGCATACAGACTGAAACATCACTTTAGGCTCCTCCTCAGATAACTTCAAGTTCTTTGTCAGATAACTTCAAGTTCTTTGTCAGATAACTGCTGGTCCTATCTCATCTACCAAGGATATAAGGTATTACTGCTCTCTGATATTTCTCTCATGTCACCTATATAGCTGTCTATATTCTACTATTCCTATGCTGTTCTAATTCTGCCACTCTCCTGAATTACAGCCTGTTAAAGATTTTCTAGCAAACTCTGGAAACTAAACCTTGGTTCAGGGAATATTTCTGTTAAACTTTCCATTTCTTGGGATTTTATCTGAAAGACAAGATATGGGTCTTTTTTTATGGATGTTATCTCCAAACATAAAGACCTGCCTTAAATAAAGACTCATGACTGAGACTACTTTGCATTATTTGGAGTTACTGAGTGATGAGGCGGTAATGATTTATATCTGCATTCCCATCATTCTTTTAGTTCCCAAATGGCAGGGCCTATACTTCTGTTTTACTCCTGATGGCATCTGGCATAATAGTCATTCAATATTTACCAAGCAAATATTTACTAATATTTACCTAAGTATTGGATAGACAAATGATGACTCAGCTTACATGTCCCTGCCATTGTCCAAAACAAATTTATTGCCTACTATTAAAGATTTTGCTTTTGACTGCAGTGACTTCTTGGAACATATAGCATGGCAGATGGGTTGCAAGAGATGAGAAACACAAGCCTAAGAAAAGAGACATGATACAGTGTGATCAAGAAGAAATTAACCAGTCAGTACTTACAGCATAGGCAAATTTATTTTTCTAAATTAAAGAAGTAAAACAATGAAGAAAGAAAATATTTCAGAAATGTTTTTCTATGCATAAGTAATATTTCCCACTTTTTTTTCTTTTGTTTCTGGATATTGAACCCAAATAGGGCCTGCTCATGTTATGCAAGAGCTCTACACTGAGCTAAATCCCTAGCCCTTTTAAATACTTTTCTATTTGAGACAAGATCTTACTAAGTTGGCCAGACTGGGCTATAACTTGTGATCCTCCTATCTCAACTCTGGAGGAGCTGGTATTACATGTATGCTATCATGCTGTGCCAAAGTGCTTTTATTACTTGCAGGTCTTTCTGACCAAAATAGATGCAAATAAATATTTGTTAGATGACAAATGATAGCACTGGGAAGATGTTAAAAATTGCTATGGTAAATGAGCTCAAAGCTATAGTGATAAGAAACCTTGTCCTGTAACAATAATGAGAAACTCGGGTATTTGTCATATCGGTAGGAATGGAACATCCCACTATGCTTGAGGACATAAGCAAAGATTGGTATATGACCCAGAGAAAGAGCCTGGACTTATAACTTAAGATCATAAGTTAGAGGACATAACATTTCACATTTACCTTAATTTTGTAGTTTTTATAGGATCTTGAGTCTGTCATTCACAGACAGTAGTCAGTGTATTGTTTTTGACAGAACCCTAAATGGTTTTTAGTGAGACATGGTGAGCACAAGAGATTTTTGTCCTTTTGAGTAATTGTTACTTGCTTAACAATAACTTTCTTCTCCTGTACAAAGATTAGTGATATCTACTCAAAGTTGATTTCTGTTTCCCTTATGCTTTGTTCAGAATCATTCAGCACAAGCCATATACATCACTCTAATATCCTGTTTCCTATTTTTTAGGACACTTCTGGGTTTCCCATGGTTTATGGTTTGCCTTTCTTGAAACTTAACTTTGATGAGCTTTTACGATACAAAAGACAGTGTCAGTATGTTTGCAATGGCTTGGGGTGACGAGATGAATTCATACTGCCCATTATTTTAAAAATTAATCTATGAGCATTATTGTCCTGCATGGGAAATATCATAAATATTATAAATTTAAGGAATCTAATGCAGTTCAATCTCTGAGAGGCAAGAGAAACAAAAGAAGAAAGAAGAGGGGAAAAAAATGAAACCAGTGTCTACAGAATACCCCAGGAACCCAAGACCGCCAGGTAGGAAGTGGTTAGTCCGCACTAAACCTGCTGTTCCAACCAGAAGCTCCGAGGCAGTGCGCATGCGCAGGACTCCGCTCCCTTAGCTGGGTCTCATCTGCATCCGGGTCCTCGGGCTTCGCCCTCCCAGTGCCGGCTGGGGTCGCTCGCGGGTTGCTGAGTGCTGCTGTTTCCCGCTGTTCCAGCCTCGGAAAAGCCGGAGAGTCCGCTGGTGAGTTGGGGGATCGGTCCTAGGAGGGAACTTGGGCGGGGACCTGGCTAGCGGTTAGCCTGTGGAGCTTTGTGCCTTGATAGACCAGGGCCGGGTTGGGGTCCCTAGAGGCTCGGGGCTGGGGACCTGTGGTTCCCCGGCCTAAACCCTTTCGAACCTGTCTGGTCGTTCTCTCCGGAATTGGGACACCAATTCCTTGTCCCCTTCTCTCGCGCGCCTTTCTCAGGACTCTTCTCCCGACATTTTTAGAAATTCGTAACAGCCATCCTCATTTGCATTCGCTGTAGTTTGCGGAATGACTGGGCCCAGCCAGTCACGCATTTGAGGTGGGCTGCAGACCTCAGGGTCCGGAGAAGCCACAGGCTTCTCCGCTGCTTCTCCCAGCTCTTCAGGATCCTGCGCCTGCCGGTATGGCCAGGCCGCCCATGCTGCTTTTCTGGTCCAAGCTTCAGAAACCTTTTCAGATCAGGTACAGGGTGCAGTAGGGAGAAGCTTAGAACAGAGATGTCTAGATTCTTGTTCTGGCCATTCCACTAACTAGCAGTGTAACTTAAGTGTTATAGAAGTTCCCATCCAGCTCTCAAGTTCACAGGTTTGTGTTCAGCTGCCAGTTCCCTAACTGATGCACATCAGAAATGAATCAGCACCTGCTGGAAGGGCTGGTGCTGTATTGTTTTTTTAAATGCCTTCTGGTCACAATACTGGAGAATTCCATGAAGCCCCAGCAGTTTGGATCTCTGAAGACTGGCAAAAACCGAAAAGGGCACATCTTAAAATTTTGAAGACTTTCTTTCCTCTGGGTGAGGTGATTTGTTTAGGACTTTTGGAGGTGAAGTCTATGCCCTGTAGAGAGTTACAAGTAAACAAACAAGCCGGGTGTGGTGGTCCACACCTGTAATCCCAGTGACTTTGGAAGCTGAAGCAGGAGGATTGCAGATTCAAGACCAGCGTGAGCAATGTAGACCCATCTCAAATTTAAAAAAAGGACTGTCGATGAGGTTTAGTGTTAAGATGCTCAATGGTTCAGTCCCCAGTGCTCCCCCAAAACGGGAGGAGGGAGGGGGGAACAAACACTTGCCTATACCTTGCTTTGAGAGACTTGCTTGAATCTTTTTGCAATTAAATATATTGTGTTCTTTTTTCAAATTTAACCCAATTCTAAGAATCACCTATGATATATCTGCAGCTTTCTTAGGCTCCCATTTCACATATGTTGAAACACTGCCTAGGAAGAGGGGCCTAAGTATCTGTATTTTTAATAAACATCTTAAGTGATTCTCAACCAATATGGCATATTTGGAGAACCAGTCTTTGAATCACATACACCTCCACCTCTGTCTAAAACTATTTAATAGCTTTAAGAACTTTAGCAATAAACCTCTTAGAGTTGCAGTTTTCTTCATTTGAAAAGAAAGGATGATAATTTCAACCTCAGGAATTATTGTTTCTATGGCCTTTGTGTCTATTGAACCAAGCATAGTGCTTAGCATATAGTAGGTTTTCATAAACTGGATAAGCTAAGAAAATAGTATGCCCAGGACGTAGAAGAAACTTGAAAAGATCTAATGTCCTTCCTGCTCCTTACAACTTTTTTTTTCTTTTTATTAAAAGCTTGCAGACTATTCTTCTTAGAAGTAAATATGTATCTTTGATGATCATATCAGCCAGCAATTATTTTTCCTTTTTTGGTGTGATTATAAAATTATTTTTAATATTAGGTTATTGATAAAAAGAAGATGAGTCCATTTGTTTGGCTGAATTTGACAGTATAAATGCTATTTACATCTTATTATGCTAGAATTCTAGATTATGCTGGTCATAGTTTTTATTGTTTTGTCAGAATTCTAACTATATTCATTGAAATAAGATATTTTTTGACTTATTAATTTAAAACATTTGACTTAATACTCTGAAAAGTGTGTGGGTGCAGAACTCAGTAATGCTGAAGCCATGTCAAAAGGATTGGTATTAATGAATGACCCATTTAAATATAAAACTAAGAATTAAAATCTAAGAATTAATATAGAATATTGTGTATATGTTATAAATCTTTGCTATATAAAAATCACATTTCTGCATAAATCAAGAGATGTGAATTAGTGTTAAAAATGCTAAAATCCACATTTTCATGATAGATCAATCCATAACTCATTTCAGTATCCATATAATAATTTTTCTTTAATATTTTAAAACCTCAAATTGGTTTTTGTGAAGCATCCCCCCCAGTTCAGCAGTTTCTTTAGTTTACTTTGTTTTCTTCTGTTTATTTGCTTGTTATTAAAAGTAGCATGTCTAATATTATCTCATTCTTAAAAATTATTTATTTGCATTGGTATCTGCAATGATATATACCTATCGATGAGAATTATTTCTGAGTAGTGGGATTTAAACATTGTTTAACAGAAAAGAGATTTGGTTATTCTGTTATGCCCTGAGTTTTAGCAAGTAACCTAAAATCATGTTCTTCTTAATAATTCCCTTTTTAAAATCATCAATATATTACACTTCTATTTGAGTGTCTATAAAATACTTAAAGTGCTCTACAATGGATTTTTCTCAGGTTGGAACTTCTTGTGTTGGAAGCTGTGTATCACTATAATGAGGCTTGTGATTCTTGATAATTATGACTTGGCTAGTGAATGGGCAGCCAAATACATCTGTAATCGCATCATTCAGTTCAAACCTGGACAGGACAGATACTTTACACTGGGCTTACCAACAGGTAATAAACCACTTTTTAAATTTTAGATACCCAGGTTATCTAAGATTGTGAAATTGTAAAGCTTCTCTTAGTAAAATATTTTTTCTGTTCATTTCTTGCCATAACACTGATTGAACCTAATGGCTTTATGTCAGAAGTTTATATATAATCTAGTATTTTATATATATATATATATATATATATATATATACGCATATATATGCATATATATGCATATATATATAATCTAGTATCTAGTATAGTCTATTATCTAGTCTAACCTAGTATCTAGTATATATATTATATATAATCTAGTATCTACATTTTATTACTATTTTTAAAAAATTCTGTTTTACCTACTGTTCGGAAATGCAGTAGGGAATTTCCTAACAAATTTTGATCATTATATTTTTGTGTTCATTTTTATAAGTTATTTGTTTTTAGGAGCATTATTTTCACTATTAATACAATTTCTTAATACCTTACCTTTCTTATTAATCACAGGAGGTACCTAAGTATGTATTGTTGCTTCTTAATTTTACATCACCTGTCATCATCTCTTATTAGCCTTTTATTATTTATTTTCCTTCAAATATAGAATGTTATAATTGAAAAATTATAAGACTGTTATTTCTTTATCACAGAATAAACAAAACATTAATTATAATTATTGAATTCAGTTTTCTGTTAAGTCTTGTCTTAAAAAATGACCAGGAAGTGTGCCATTTGATCTTATGGCTCTTCATTTGGTATTTTTAACCTTTGACTTTGCATAGGGTGTTATACCTAGAGTCAGAACCACTTCTTGGTTATTTCAAGGCAGTTATTTTATATAACTACACTTGTTTCCTTATCTGTAAGAAGGGTAGGAATAATAATAACTTAAAATGCTGTTTGGAGGCTCAACTAAGTTAGTATGTCCATAAGTCCCCTGCATACTGAATACTCTATAAATTCAAGGCTCTCATAATGTTTTAATCAAATAGACAATTTTCTCCTGTTCCTCCTCCTATACATTCCAACTACATGAAAGTTAATCACAGATGTTTTCTGCTTTGGTGATTTGCATGACTAATATTTCTCAAGTTGATTTTGTTTATTGTTTTGCTTTTTCCTTTTTGGTCTGGGGCAGTAGATCTTGGTGAGAACAGCAGAGGGGGATTTTTTTTTTTTTTTAAAAATTATGCACAACAGTACTGTACACTTACAGCAGCACCCTCAGTTCTGTAATGTGAGATGGTCATTGAATGTGACTTCACAGTATCAGTTTGTCTACTGTTATCCTGGGTTACTTTAAGCCTAACTGTGCCCATCACATTGTCTTAATTATCATGCAGAAGTAAATACTTATTTGAATTTGGAAACAGAAAAACTTCAGAATTTTAAATGCTAGCAGTGCTAAACATATTTTTATGTATATAGATCTACAACTTTAGCTTCAATTTTGGTAATGTAACTGCTTAGTAATGCTCTTACAAGGGGAGTATTTCTGGATAACTCTTATTGATGTTTTCCCCTATTCATTTTCATTGACTATTGACATGATAATTATGTTCTCCTTCCTGATGCTTTTAAAATTTGAACATAAATATATGTGATTGCAGCTAACATGCTATAGAATAATTATTCTCTCACCCAGCACAATTGCTGGGGAATAGCTCTTCAGTATATATTTACTGAAGTGACATTAATGGGCTTGAAATTTAAAGGTCTGCATACTGAGAACTTGACCTGCCTCCCAACCTTATTCCCACCATTCCCAAACACTGAATTGACCGGTGAATTGAACTGCCTGTAGTTCAAAGAATAGGCCTAAATTTGCTGACTTCTTTGCTTCATTTCCATTCATGTTGCTAGCATGGTATATAGTGGAACCCACGAGATTTGAAACTAGACAGATCTAGATTTCAATCTCTGACTTCACAGCCATTTGATATTTGGCAAATTCTTCTCTTTTTTACTCATTTCTTTCATCCTCAGAATGAGAAAGATAGTGTCAGTTTCCCAAGGGTGTGAGATTTACATAAGGTGATGTGTAAAAACAAAAGATAATGTCTTTGGGCCTCCTCCCCTGTCTCTGGTCTGTTTTCAATCACAACTGTGCTGTTCCCTTTGTCAGAATTTCAGACTTTTTTAAAGAGTTAATTAAAATGCCATCTGTTTTTTTTTTTTAATAATTTTCCCAACTAGCAACACTATAATCTTTTTGATTAGACTTCTTTTAGGTTATTTAAGATTTTCTTTGTGTCATGGTTATTTTGTTCTTAGTTATCCCTATATTACCAGTTCTTATCATACAGAAAAAAATTCTGGTAATCTCTATTTGATCTGAATTATAGTGAGGACTTGCTAAATGTTACTAAATAACAATAGCAAACAAAATATTAATTTTGTTAATTCCCTTAACCAGTTCCCTCTGTACCATATCTTTCATTCGTTTATCTAGATTAAAAAGTAGAAAATGAATGTGTTTTTTGTCCTTATCATTGTGACAGTTTCTCACTTTTTTATTCATATATTCTTAAGGAACTCTTCTAATTCTCTTAACAATGAAAAAACAAGATTCATTATCTATTATTTTTCTATTTTTTTTTAAACTTTGTGGTGTTTATTATTTATAGCCATTTCTATAACTGTCATAACTGTCATCTCAAATGAGAGGCAGCTTTTTGTTTTTTGAGGTTTTTAAATTTATTTTTTAGTTTTAAGTGGACACAGTATCTTTATTTTATTTTTATGTGGTGCTGAAGATGGAACCCAGTGCCTCAG